AAAGATTTCTTTGAACCATATTTGTTTTAGTAGAATTAATATAAACAGTATTTTTAATCTAGTTTATTCGTTGAAGCATTGCAAGTCCTGGTTATAAAGATTGGCCTAAATTTAGATTCAGTTTGAATTCGTTGTTGATTTTTATAGTAACTTTACTCAGGTTTTTACAACTGATAACATTTTAATGGCGGATATACGGCTTATAACATTCAGTGTCTCAAAAATCAACCTCACCTTTCAGAATTTGAGATTCTTCCACTCGTAATTAACGGTGAGACCACCAATGACATTCCATTCTTTGATCTTTTAAACGGTCCCTAAATCCAGACAATACAATCCACTGCTAATGATGATGTACAAATGATCGGACCATTTTATCTTTACAAGTGTCAGATTAGAACATAGAGTTTTTACTGTTATATCTAGGCTGGAGCTGCCCAATAATCGCTTTCTAGCATTTATAGATTTCAAAATAGCTTACGCGGTCTTGTGGTAGACGGCTTATCCTCCATCCTAAAGCCTCTTTCAGCAGACTTAACGTTGCAAGACTATTGCTCCTCTATCTATAACCTCAGTTGACCTCCGTTCTCTGGTTCCATCAGGTCATCTCCCCAAAGGTATGACACGTTGTAACATATTCCCTGATTCGACTCACTATCATTTCATTTGTGTTCCAATGGAAGAAATTTCCGCTAAAATATCAACTTTGTGGAATTAACTTCCAAGTTCGTGCTTCCCCGGATTTTACACGCTTAACCCCTCCAAGTTAATGATTAAGTACCCCCCCCATAATGTTCATTTTCTATTACTTCGTTTTTCTTTCATATCGAACACCACATTCATTACCATTTTCATAATATACCGAGTGTAACAGCAAAATTATCCAAATCGTGTAACAGCATGGGGTAATTGTTCATCCCACAAAATGTTGAATATCAAAAAAAAAAAAAAAAAGCACAAAACCAATTGAGGTTCTTTTTTCCATGTTTTCAGAGAAGATGTTTATCCATATTGATACCATGTATCGTAAGAATCACTGAAAAGCTCTTTGAGTTATTCAGCGAGAAATGGGATAGGTTAAATTCGTTTTGTGTCAGACCCCACTGTCTTCCCAACTGATCAATGGTGAGACGAAAAAGATCATTCAGGCCTTCAGTAATGGTTCCAACATTCATATTCTAGCTTCCATCTTCATAGGCCCGTTCAAGAACCATCAAGAGAACGGTGAATAAGTTTTAAAAATAAGGAAAAGTAGAGAGAAAAACTGGATCAGGAAGTCACAACAAGAAGAGGAATTATTATTTCAACAGAGTTAAAGAGATCAATTAAAAAATATTCAACACAATCCATAAGATATTTGGCAGGTGAGAGAAATGTTCCGCTCATGACAGTTCAAAAAGTATTGGAAAAAGACGTGTAAGGCAAATTGTTATTCCAGGATGGAAAGCTAGAAGGTTAGAGTAGGCGAAGAGCATTTTGAATAAGTTCGAAAATGATCCTGGAATAATATATGTATATATTTATAGGATTGAAATTAAGTTCAAAAATATATATATATATATATATATATATATATATATATATATATATATATATATATATATATATATTCATATATTATATATATATATATATATATATATATATATCATATATATATTCATATATATATATTCATATATATATATTCATATATATATATTCATATATATATATTCATATATATATATATTCATATATATATATTCATATATATATATATATATATTCATATATATATATATTCATATATATATATTCATATATATATATATATATATATATATATATATATATATATATATATATATATATATATATATATTCATATATATATATATATATATATATATATATATATATATATATATATATATATATATATATATATATATATATATGAACTTAATTTCAATCCTTAATCCTATTACTAATGAACCTGTCATTTTTATTTATGATTCATTTCAACATGATTTTTCTGTTAAGCTTGCTCAGAGTTCAATAGTATTATAAAAACCTCTTAGAATTCCAGTAAAATATCTTTAATTATTTCTAAGATACAACGTTTAGAACTTAAACTAATAATTGGACAATTTTGCTGTTATACGACTTGGACAATTCTCCTGTTAAACCCTGTTCATCTACCTTGAATAACTCCCAAGCTTTGCATTAGGTTCATTTTACAGATAATGGATAAGCTGTCAGTGCGACTCAAGAGAACATACTTCAAATTCCCCAGCTTTTCTTTCCGACAAGCCATGAGATCAAAAAATATCTACAAGATGTATTCTGACGTAAAAAAAAGAACACTTCATTATATGATCACCTTCGGTGCCATATTTATTTCAATACTTATTTTTCATGCACTGAGTCACTTCAGTGTTCTAGATGGCCATTGATTTACACATAAGCCTCTTCCATTTTTGCTCTCAGCAAGGTTTATAACTTTACCACTCCCTTCGTACTCTCTCTGTTAGCCATTCGTCCAAACCAACTGAGTAGATTACTCGCTGGTTCACCCTGCCTCTCCGTATTTCAATGTGCACCGTGAGTATTAACATGTCCATCTTTTAATTCATCATATTGTCCCGAGGAATGTCGAATTTACTCTTTCAGATTGTAAGTATACGTGTCCATTTAGTTCTGATATACTTTAGAACTTCCTCGTCGCTGGTGTTTTATCCATGTATTTCCAGAATCCGTTTGCAGAAACAGATTTCTGTTGACTCTCCTCTAAAAAAATGTCTAGCATCCAGTCATATAAGTGCGTAGATTCGACATAGCATTTCAGCAATCTTTTTTTTTTTTTGTTTCTAACAAATATGCCGTAGAGTTTCTAGAAGATCCCTTTCGATAATCAGACGTTTACACTAATTTGTTTAGAAACAACAGCATTGCTTCTATCGCAGTTCTTACTAATAGCTGCGTCCTGGGTATGACGATAAACTGCATCCGTCTCCTCGATAAGACGATGAACTACGTCCAACAGCAAGCCCTCTGATCAGGAGGTTTTGAGGAGCGTAGAACAACTCTATTTGCCCCTAGGACTCTAACAGGTGCTACCACCAAGCGTCTAGGTGGACCTGGGAACACCAGCAATTAAATTAACCTACAAACTGGGGTCAAAACCATGTGAAAGTGTAAAAATATGTTTTAATACTAGAAATACTTTGTAAAGAAAATATTACCAGCAATAAAATTTTGTCGGCATTAAATAACCCATTGAGGTTGATGTGCCGTAAAACAAACCAAACCATACTATTAGCTGAAGGTATTTAAGGATAATGCTCGCCTGCATTTTTGTGATAATCCATTTTAGAGCATCAAATAACCTGTCGAGTGGAACTTCCGAATGCACCAACTTTACCTCTGCCGACGGGAAAGAACCCCCTTCCGCAATGTGGCGTCCTGGATATGACGATAAACTACATCTACGACCTGGATATGACGATAAACTAAATCTACGTCCTGGATATGATGATAAACTAAACCGGGCAGCAAGGCCTCTAATCAAGATTTGATTGATGATGTTCCCGGGACTGCCCTGGTTCGAGATAGTGGCACCTATTGGGTTCGCAGCTGTGGTCGGGGCACTGTGAAAATGTAAAAATAGTTTTTAAAACCTAGAAATAAATCTTTTGAAAAAAATTACCAGCAATGCATTTTTAGAAATAGAGGAAATTACCAGCAATACATTTTTGAAAATATATTACCAACAATACATTATTACTAGCCATACATTTTTTAAAGAATACTTATAACTAGAAATACATTATTACCAGTAATACATTTTTGAAGATAAATACCATCAATACATTTTTGGAAAAAAGAAAATCTTGCCAACATTAAAGATCTTGTTGGCATTGAATAACCCATTGAGGTTGATATGCTGTAAAACAAAAGAAGCCAAACCAATCCAAACCAAAGAATACATATTCCATACATACGTATCTATCCTAAAAATCTTGTCGGCATTCAATAACCCATTGAGGTTGATAGGCTGTAAAACAAAATAAACCAAAGCAATCTAAAGCAAATATTCTATTCATACGAATCTATCATACAAACCTTGTCGGCATTGAATAACCCATTGAAGTTGATATATAGTAAAACAAAATAAACCAAACCAGTCGGAGTATCAATGGTGAACTATAAACATGCGATGAAAATTGATATATGTATTATCTGATAGTTCGCCATCTTATTCGTTAGGTGATAATTCATTATATCTGCGGGAAGAGATTGCAGAATGGAGAGACTAAAACTTTCAGCACAAAACCGCGTAAATTGCTTTGAATTCAGTGAAGATTAGAAAGCAAATAGATTGAGCAGCTCCAGCAGAAATGACAGTAACACACCGCTTTTAGTCTAAACTGACACATGTAAAATTAGAATGGTTACAGTATCTTTAGCAGTGGATCGTATTGTCGGGAGTGGGAGTCCGAATAGAAATTCTTACTTCTTGCGTTGTATAAAAAAAAACAAAAAAACTTTAATGTTGAGGAAATTTTTGGAAGTCGCTTGGTCGTTTGTAGACAATGTGTGGAAGTAATTGAAAGACACCGACGAAGGTGTGTCGCCTGTAGCGAGGCTCATAAAGCCTTTATAGCGTTCGGACAGTATCAAGGCAACACAATTTGTACAGCGAATCACAGAATATCTGTACGGAGACCTTCAGGTGTCCGAGGGCGCAATCCGCTATATGTTACATGAGGGCCTTCACTACAATTAATAAGTGACGAGAAAAGTGTGGTTCACGTCGGCAAACACACAAGAACAACAGCTGCTCCGAGCAATAGGATTTCTGAACAAATTGCATCATCCAGAAGGACATGGATTGTTTTTTTTTTTCTTTTTCAGACGGAAAAAAAAGGTGATTCGAAGAAATTACATGTGTATATGGGCGGATTCTTCTGATAGCCTCCATGTTACACATCATGTTTCCCAATTCTGTTTTAGGTATGCTGAGAAGTGAAGGAGACGTCGTGCCACTCATCTTCTATCAACAGGGTCTTCTGTTGAATCTTGCTATCTCGACGTAGGTGCTGGAAACAGTTGTGATAGAATTGTATGCGATGGAAGGCCGTAGGTGTTTCAGCAAGACACTGCACTTGCCCTCAAAGCTCCGATGACCCAAGTTTCGATGGCGGTCAATCTACACTAACAAGTCACCAGACCTAAATTCCCCTGACGATATTCAGTCACCCCCCACGAGGGCGTCATGTGGCCTTTTTAACGTGGGCTCGGCGAAAAATAGGCCCATTGAACACGTATAAACTGGTTCAGGTTCGGTTTACCTCCGCGAAAGAGAATCCGCCATTCGGCGTAGCCTCTTTCGGGTGCCTCCCCGCCCGAAGGCAGAGAGTTCAACCGATCAGCCGGTCAGCCTGACTGACGCACTGAGCGACTAATTCCCCAGACAATTACATGTGGGACGTTATTTAACGGGAGACTAATCACCATCCTCACAGGGCAACTGTTTCTCTAAGTGATGTCAAATATCGATACAGAACACGTGAACATGTCAACGATTCTGGTTTCAGATTGAAGCCATTATTGCGACTGGGGGCGGTTGCGTCGAATAAACCTGTAAAACAACCATTACTGCACCTGTGTATCAAGTTTTAGATCAATAAATTTAGTCTCTTGTAAATTGAGGTTGCTTCTCTGTTGTGGTAGGATCCACCTAATTTGCATAGTGGAGTACCGACCATATAAATATGGTTGGTACCGGGAAGAGAGGGAGGAATCAAGAGATTCAACCAGAGACTCTGCCCGACTGCGACTCAGTCAACACATTCTCCAGGAACGGTCTTACCAGGAATATACAAAAGACTATATCTAAATATTGTGTACACTTTCTTGTTTCAATATATTTTGTTCTAAGTACATTTTGTGTTGCATTATTATTCCATGCATTAGTCAAGTTTCAACACTTTCTTTCTTTCGTTTCCCTTTTTTCTTTTTCTTTCTTTTGTTTTCTTTCTTTTTTCTACTTTATTTCTTTCTTTCTTTTACTTTCTTTCTTTCTTTTTTTCTGTCTTTCTTTCTATTTCATTTCTTTCTTTTAGTTTCTTTCTATTTTCTTTCTTTCGTTTCCCTTTTTTCTTTTTCTTTCTTTTGTTAATTCTTTCTTTTGTTTTTCTTTCTTTTTTCTTCTTTCTTTCTTTTACTTACTTTCTTTCTTTTTTCTGTCTTTCTTTCTATTTCATTTCTTTCTTCTTTTAGTCTCTTTCTATTTTCTTTCTTTCTTTCTGTTGTGGTAGGATCCACCTAATTTGCATAGTGGAGTACTGACCATATAAATATGGTTGGTACGATATCTAAATATTGTGTACACTTTCTTGTTTCAATACATTTTCTTCTAACTACATTTTGTGTTGCATTATTATTCCATGCATTAGTCAAGTTTCAACATTCTCTTACGGTCTTCAATGTGTCCTTAAATACCTTACACATCCTGTATTAATTTCCACCATGATTCGCATTCATATTGGTTTCCTGTTCAATTTTTTCGCGGTTTGACTAAATATAAGTGGTTGATAATGATTCATCTAAGAAAAACAAACAAGATAAATGTTGCATTGCTTCTATCTTCTTCGTTGTTTTGTGTTTTTGGCCTATTGATTACAATTTCGTAACTGAAAAGAGAAAGGAAGATGAATTATGATTGGTGTGGTAACTTTTATTAGATATTATACTGGAAATTGTTATAATTCATTTAAGAAATATATTCCGAAAGACGAGAAGCCAATTAATTCTATCGATTAACAATAATTATTTTCCAAGAATGGGAGAAATAACGTATTGAGTAATGTAACCATTCTTTATTGGGTAACGATTAGTCATTGAATATAAAATAGGACAGTCTAAAATAGAAAAAAAAGGGGGGGCATTTATGAAAGCGTAATTAAAAAAGAAAAAGGAGGGAAAATGATTATTATTATGGGATATATAAAAATAATTTCTTCTTTTGAAGACTTTTACACCAAATCTATCTATCTATCTATCTATCTATCTATCTATCTATCTATCTCATTCTGTTTCTTTCTTTCTTTCTTTCTTTCTTTCTTTCTCAATCTGTTTCTTTCTTTCTTTCTTTCTTTCTATCTATCTCATTCTGTTTCTGTCTTTCTTTCTTTCTTTCTCAATCTGTTTCTTTCTTTCTTTCTTTCTTTCTATCTATCTCATTCTCTTTCTTTCTTTCTTTCTTTCTCAATCTGTTTCTTTCTTTCTTTCTTTCTTTCTTTCTATCTATCTCATTCTCTTTCTTTCTTTCTTTCTTTCTCAATCTGTTTCTTTCTTTCTTTCTTTCTTTCTATCTATCTCATTCTGTTTCTTTCTTTCTTTCTTTCTCAATCTGTTTCTTTCTTTCTTTCTTTCTCAATCTGTTTCTTTCTTTCTATCTATCTCATTCTGTTTCTTTATTTGTTTTCTATCTCATTCTGTTTCTATCTATCTATCTATCTATCTATCTATCTATCTATCTATCTATCTCATTCTGTTTTAACCCATCTATCTATCTATCTATTTATCGTACATATATATATATATATATATATATATATATATATATATATATATATATATATATTGGAACATGAAGGTCAACACTTAGAGGCAACAGTCTGTTTCATGCTAGATGCAATCCTCCAGGCTACGATGATTGCACTCGTGGCCTGATGAAAATCAGACTGTCGCCTCATGCCAACTTATGTTCCCTTTTATATTTTACACGCTCTATCTCTGATATTGAGCACTTTATCCCATAAATATAGCACGTCTTAAGACTATATTTCTTCATATATATATATATATATATATATATATATATATATAGAGAGAGAGAGAGAGAGAGAGAGAGAGAGAGAGAGACAGACAGAAAAGAGAGAGACAGAAAATATTTGGAGACTAAACACTCCTGTATCTGTGGTTTCTACCCATCAGGTATCGCCAGGCATTAAAACTGAATATTCAATCCCGAAACACTCTTCTGTACATAATGTTACCGCAGGTAATCGGATATAATTAAGGAAGAATTAAAGAGAGGAATAACTGAAAATAAATGCACCGACCCCGGTTCATAACGTGCTCGTCGGAATTTCCTTGAATGCTGTCATGATCTCGGATCTTTCGTTAAGGAGCTTAGGTTGTTCAGGATACAGCGTAATCATCAATTTTACCTGTTCACATAAATTTACGCATCATATTCACTATGTTAAATGACCGGCTTTTTCTCAATACATCCTTTTTCATAATGGAAATTTTATTACATTTTTCTTTCACTTATACATAACTAATAAATTTGTGTTGTTTCTGTACCTTGTTATCTTAAAGAAAGATTAGTTATTATAATTTTCGTTTTAAACGTTCCTTCTGTAGAAACAATGTTCACTTATTTGGCCTTTATAGGCTCTACTTTAGCTCTATAAACTAGACCTTCTACTAGGCAGTTGCCGTTCAGCGGACAATTTGCTGTATCCCGATAATTACGTTTTTCCTCGGTAAGTAATTGAGAACAAATATAAAAAAAAATATAAAGATAATTTTTCTACATTTCTAAGCTGATGAATTACCATTTACAGTATTTACAGGCGGACTATTCTCCTCATCTTTAATTTTTCTGTGGTTGTTATTACAACGTTTCAACCTTCAAGTGTATATCGATTCGAGTAATCTACATGGGATTTCGAAATGGGTCTCTTATTTAATCTACTAGGATAGATAATTTTTGGCCCACCGGCCATGTTTAGGTTTAGTTCTTATTTTTAGTATTGCTCAGTCATCGTTTGCCGTTCGAGACCACGTAGACTACTTCACAATGACTATGTCACCAGATTCGCGAACCGATGATTTAATTCACTTATTAAATAACGGAGCTTTAAGTCTAACCTGCTTGATTATGTAAAAAAAAAACCGTCATGTTTTAAAAATCAGTAAAAATTAAAATAAAAATGGCTCATATTCGAATCTTAGGAAAACGGGATTACTGAAATCATTATCAGTTTCGTAATGTAGACTTTTCTATTTTATGTGCTGTGTAGCTCCATGGCAAAGATCATGGACCTCCACATCTTCCTGTTCATTGTGGAAGTTTTGTATTTTTGTTATTTCTCCCAAACCCTTTTCTGACATCCATTTACTCAAGCTCATTAAGTATGTTACGCGCTGATTTCCACTGTCCTTCTTTCCTTCTATCTGTCCTGTGACTATCGAATTTTGCAAATCCTCCTTTTATCCTCAAGTATTTTCAACGACCTCTTCAGGACGTTTGTGATTTAAATCATCTATCCTTTTTAGCTCTTAAAAAATGTTGTGTTTTTGTTATCTCCTAATCCCTGTTACCCATATCAGTTTACTTATGTCGAAATGTCCTTTCGACTCAAGAGCTGGTCTGGTACAGTAAGTGTTGCGAAACACCGCCTAGTCTGGCGACCCAAAATTCAGTCAGGGATCAATCAATAACGTGAGAAGAAGAGAGCCCGCGGAACGACTTTGTTCTCATAAAGACCCTTTCACACACAATATAATGAGAAATGATGGAAGGGAGAACTTAAATAAAAAGGTGGCAGACCTGCGCATCACACCCCTTCCGGTAAAACGATTAGAAAAAAAACAGTGCTCGTTGCGATCTCGCTTTTAAAAAGAAACAAGCTATGGCAAACACACCGCCTCACACATCTGATCGCAACACCACACACGTAGGTAATTTAATTTACTTTTCACTTAAGCTCGCTAGGTATGTTATGCGGTGCTTCCCCCCTGTCATTCTACATCCACTTTAAATGAAACATCAATTGTCAACTTCCGTCGTCTTGAATCCTGTTCGTTTATTGTGCTCCTATATTTTCACTTTCCTTCCCTTTCCTTAATCACTTGCATCCTCGTTGTTTTAGCCCCTGTGAATTGAACCTGACGTAGGCGCCCAAATCAAGTTTCTTTAGATGTTGCTCTTACGTATATAGATAACTGATTCTGCATTATGCATATAATCACTTGAGCTTTATCAATAATTTACAAAATATAGACTTCACCCATAACCTTTTGTGTTTTACAGGTCGGTACGTCCTTCTTTATTTTTTTAAATGCCTCAACAAACTTAAGCTCGAGTATAAGTTAAAACAAGAAAAAAGATATAAAAACTTAGATTTCTAATATTTCTTCGCATTAAAATTTCAACAAGATGAATTCTATTTTTTAATAAGTTTTTTTTGGGGGGAGAAGATTTTCGTAATGTGTTTTCGAAATGGCTAGGCTAACGGAAAAAAGAAAACAACGTATAATCGATTTTTTTTAATTTTTTTTTTTAGTTGCGATGATTTAACGAGTTGGAAAAAGAGAAACATGAATGTTTTGAAGAAAAATCGAAACAAAAGTTCAAGGGGGAAAAATTGTTAAGTACAAATAATTCGGTGGCAAATATTTTATTTTTAAGATTCAAGTAGATGTGTTTGTGATAAGTAAAGAAGATACTTTTCAAATATTGTCTGAGTATGATTTAAAAACCTGTAAATTTTAAATATGTTTTGAGCTGTTAAGAAAAATTATATATATATATATATATATATATATATATTAATTAGTAATTCATTAAGTCTAGAAGAAAACTCAACAGAATGCAGAAAGCACTGGACAGCCGTTTCGTCCTATATTTGAGGCTAATCAGCAGTGTGCATCCACTACTGAGAATTGAAAATATATATATATATATATATATATATATATATATATATATGCAAGGTACATATTGGAAAGTGCTCAATACCAGTGAGAGAGATAACATATTCAGTTGTATGAATATGACATTGTAACCCTGGGTTTCACGCTCTTACGATCATGACAAAGTCTCTTTTTTATCTCTCTTTCTCTCTCTCTTTCTGTATCTCCATATATATATATATATATATACATTACTGATTTTAAGAAAGAGGCTTGTCGATTATTTTGAAGAATATTTTCCCTGCGTTTGCTTTTATTATATTATTGTTGAAATTCTTTTATTTATTGATATGGGTTAGGGAGTGTTTGGAATAGTTAATGTATATTATGTTTATGTTTGGTTATGAGTGTGTGTGTGTAAATATAAAACGGATCGGATGTTATGCATTCTTTCTAACACACTCATACACACACACATATAGCTAGATATCTAGAGAGACAGATTGATAGATAGATATCGATATAAAAATGCGGGCATAGAAATCAATAATATAATAACTAGCAGTTTAAGATCTTATGAAATCATTACATATGCAAACACTCTAGGCCCCATAGCGTATACCTTTCCCCTATAAATATGCCAAATTCAAGACACACATACACAAACATATATATATATATATATATATATATATATATATATATATATATTATAAATTAATTGATTTAAAATATGTTTTTTTCCGCTACACAGTTCTAACATAGAAGCTAAAAGCCCCGAATTTAATTTTGCAATAATATTTTGTAAAAATAAAAATATCTATAAGAACACCGGATTATATATCTTACTGTTCTTTCTTTTTATATATATACATATATGTGTGTGCGTATGTGTATGTGTGTGTATGTGTGTGTGTGTGTGTGCGTATCTATATTTTAAGGAAAAGATGTATAACAAATTAGAAAAGTTTTGTGCAACGCGTTTCGTCTTTTGGGTCTTCATCGGACTAAGTTTATGTTTACGTTTATGTTTATGTGGCTTCAGATGCGCACGAATAAGGGGACATTGGAAATTTTAATTTTAAAAATATATTCTTTTTAATATGTCTTTTGGAGCTTGTAAACTATTAGATTTCATTCATATTATTTTTCTTTTTGTTTATTTTTCCATCACTTCTGGTATTAAATATCCAACATTGTGATAATACAAGTTCTGCCAAGAATGTTGAAACGGTACGCAGGCTTACTGTGGAGAATCTGCAGATTAATTCCGGAAGAAAACGTATATCAGATAAAGACTCCTTGTAATCATATTCTCTGCTATAAGGAGATAATAATAATAATAATAATAATAATAATAATAATAATAATAATAATACTTACACTGGACAATGTGCAAACACTTTGGAAAATGTAAGCAAACACTAGTATGAACATCAGCCAGCGCCAGTTACAGAAATAGAAGATGTCACCATTCTATGGGATTATACCATCCCACAGACAGAAAATTGAAGCAAATAGGCCGGACATTATTGTCAAAAACCAGAAAAGAAAAAACTTGCCTACTAATTGATGTGGCTTGTCCAGCGGATTGTAACATAGCAACCAAGGAATTTGAAAAAACTATCAAAAAATACAAAGACCTGGAAATTGAAATAGAAAAAATGTGAAATTGAAAAACAAGAATAATACCAGTGGTAATAGGTGCACTTGGAATTATAAAAAATGGAACAAAACAACACATTGAAAGAATCCCTGGAAACCCCAGCTTAAGAGACATACAGAAAATTGTCTTATTAAGTACAGCACACACACTAAGGAGAACTTTGTCTATGTAACGCTAGCAACTTCATCGGAGATAAAAAAAAAAAAAAAAAAAAAAAAAAATTAAATTAACATGAAATGTGGCCATAACAACACACCACGACCTGCCTTAGGTCTTTCCGCAGACTTGGTAGGTAGTGTGTCCATAGCAGAAAAAATAATAATAATAATAATAATAATAATAATATGGGGCACATGGGAACATCAACAACCCCTGTTGTAGTTGGATGCCTCGGATTGGTTGGAAAAGATTCCAGTAGACTAATTGAAGGGATTCCTGGAAGTCCATGCCTCAAAGAGATACAAAAAATTCTTCTGACAAGTACAGGCCACACATCACGAAGGGCTTTATCTATGTATTTTTTTTTTTTTTTTTTTGTCAGTGGAAAGTGTCATGATGCCATTTCTAACCTTAGGTCCCTGGGCGGGACCGCGAAAGAAATGTGTAAACGCCAGAAATCAAAGAAAATAATAATAATAATAATAATGATAATAATAAAATTAAGTTTATTTACTTTATATTGAAGATTAAGGAATCGGAGAGTCGAGTTCAAATCCATTACATTCACTTACGCGCTTATACCCTTGGGAAAGGTATGAATCATTTTTCTACTTTCAACAGCTATGGATAAATAGCAGTTGGATGGCATCTGGTCTACCGTAGCAAACTACCGCGAGAAAAAAATCTGACTCGCAGTCATGTATCGAAAGATACATGATCGCTTATATATGTATGTGTATAAAGTAATATCGGATGAATTTTTCTGTTAAAAAATTTTTTTAAATAAAAACAACGTCAAAGTTGGTGCTAAATTGGTGCTAAAATCGTTACTCTAACCCACAACAAAAGAATGCAACTGCCGAAAGAACACACCTTGCCCATTAAGCGGCGGATGTGTGGACAAAACTTTAATTCATAAAGTTAACATAAAATATGATGACGAGGTAAAGTTTTATGGGGGTTTTACTGAAAACTGTTGGAAATAACGCTTCTATCATCACCAAATGACATTAGGCAATATTAAATATACTAACCTTTCTAAAATTTCCTGGAAAATAAAAAGCGGTAATAAAAACCCAGGCTATCACCTGGGACTACGTAACGAAAGCTAAACGCTTTCACGTGAAAGGTGATAAATGTAGCTCATGTGTTTCTGAGAAGTTAATGATCCTAAAAAATATGAGCAACCTCAATCTGCTAAACAAAATGAGTAAATTCCCACTCAAACATATTGACCCAGACGAATCGAGCCTAAATTCAAATTCAAGATTAGATTATACTGCAATTAAATATTTAACAACGGTTACTATTCATCTCATCACAAACATATCTCGCGTAACACAGAAATATTAACCAAACGGTGTTCACAAAATATTGTAAATTTAAATAATTCCCTGAGGATTACATAGAGCATGTTGACGTGGTGTATTATATATATATATATATATATATATATATATATATATATAATTATCTATTCGAAAATTATAACTTAACTATGTTATAAAATCACTACAAAAAGCCATTTTGTTTCAACACTTCTGGTGTCTTATCAAGTGGTGGTGGTGAATGTAGAATCAAGCCTTCTACATTCAACGCCATCACTTGATCAGGCATCATAAGTGTTGAAACAAAATTGCTATTTTGCAGTGATTTTATAACATATTTATGTTATAATTTTCGACTAAATAATTATTTTTGCTCTGCTCTGTATTGAGCACTCATTTAAGAATATTATTTGTGGGTTACTGGAATTTATATATATATATATATATATATATATATATATGTGTGTGTGTGTGTGTGTGTGTGTAATTTAAATAAAAACAGACCACTTTAAGGTTCCATGTAATAAATTATTTCACCACAGCTCATTTAAAATCATGCAGATCATCAGACTTTACATCCAAACAAAAAAGAAAATTTACACAATTTTTAACGGGCCGTATTAAACATATGTAAATGAACGAAGTGAGGAAGTGAGGGGGGAGAGAAGACATGAGTGAGTTAGAAGATATTGACATATTTAAGCGGTTAACTTAACGGAAGTTATATATTGATATCGAAGGGTAGAGAAAAAAAACCCATATTTTATCCTCCTTAGGTTTACCCATACGGATTACCTAGTTTTTCATAAACTATATATATATATATATATATATATATATATATATATATATCGACATTACTTTCCATTTGCACGATTTCTCTTCTGAAATATCGTTAAAATTTCCTTTCTTTTTGTTGAGAAGTCTTGAAATAAAGAAAACCAAATGACTATTCATTTCGTTTTAGTACATGTTATGGACTTTTTATTCAGTGTATTTTCCTTATTTGTTGTTTCAGTTGATAGCACAGTCAAGCCCATCGTCGCTTCTGACTAGTTCTCTTCATTAGTATAGCTGAGTAAAATTTACTTTTTCGTTTGCAGAGTCCCTATCTATTGCAGTCAGTTTTATTTCGTTGTCAGCCAAATTACTTCATTACTGTCTGGCTCAATATACAACGCATCCTGATAACCAGAAAATAGAACCTGCCCAGGCATTTATTCGTTTTATTTTGTTTCTGCCGCAAATTTTGATCTCCGATATTTTTCTTGCTCCTCTTCCTTATTCTTGACTGACTTTTTTCAATTATCCCTTTCTTCTCGAAAGAGAGTCAGGTGCTTGTAGTTTTCGTTCCTGTAAAACGTCCTGATGATTTTCTGGTTGGGTAATCCAATTATTTCTCAGAATTTCGATACTTTTTTAAAACTCCTTTTATTAGTTTAAGTCATAAGTAATTACTATATTGGGGAACCAATTGCAATTTCAAATGCCTCATGCTCTAAAAGCGTTCTTTAAGTATATCATAATCGCTGATGTAAAATGGGTAATATATGACAATGATCAATGCCAAAAACAGTGGATTGTCAAGAAAAAATCTCCACAAAAGCTGAACCCATCACCAATATTGTGTATCTTCTTTCCTTTATCCCTCCCTCTTTATCTCTATTTCTCTCTCTTTCTCTTTTCCAATTCACAATCTCTTTCTTTCCATCGAACTTATAACTGTTTATCTTTATTTTACTCTACTTGTCACTCTCTCACTATAAATACACACACACATATACTTACATATATATAAATATATATATGTATATATATGCATGTATACACATATATATATGTTTTATATGTATATATTTATATTATCTGTATATATGAAGAAATATAGTTTTAAGATGTGCTATATTTATGGGATAAAGTGATCAATAATCAGAGACAGCGCGTATGTGAATTTAAATATAAAAGTGAAGATTGAAGTCAGCACTCAGAGGCGACAGGCTGTTTCATGCTGGACGCAATCGTCAGGCCGCGAATGCTGGATTTTTCCTCGGCTATTTATATATATGAGTCAGTGGTGCATTGTGGGTATGAAGCTTTCTATTTTTCAATTAATTTTAGCTTATACGTGGATGGAGATGGGATGGGTATGTTTTTAGGGAGTAATCGAGGCTAAAATTTTTAATGTCCATAATGTGTTATAAATGTAGCGAACGTGCTCTACTGTTTATCAGGGCTGAATATAAAAGAAATATAGCTTTAAAAGGTGTGCTATATATATATATATATATATATATATATATATATATATATATATATATAAGTTTCATTAAGAAGATTAACAAGGTAATGCAATTAAGATCTTTATTCAATGTTTCTTGTGTTCGTATAATGTTTTTAATTTTATGAGCATAAATTATTGGCAAAACTGTTCTATGTATCGAACGCTTTCGACTAATCTTTTAGACATCAAGGATGTCATTACTTTTAAATTTTAATTAAATTTTCTATTTTTCAAAAAACAGTCAATACGATATGGTCGTGTTTTTATATATATATATATATATATATATATATATATATATATATATATATATATATATATGACATTTGGCTAGATTTGTACATACTTTACATCCTGCATAGCAAACACTTATAAAAACACATGTAACATTTAATAAAAAACATTGCCAGTTGTCTGTATATATACATATATATGTACACACACACACACAGATGTATATATATATATATATATATATATATATATATATATATATATATATATATATATATATATATATATATATATATATATTCTCGGAGTTAACCTGTAGAAAAAGACAATATTTGTAAATGTAAAATACAATAGGAAAACTGTAATAGTCACCGACGTGTGACAGTAATTTTCAGCTAACAGTATGAAAACAGCGTTCTCTAAATTCTTACAGTTGCTAAGGACATTTTGTTTTTGTTATTATTAGTTAGTTTGTTTAATATATTAATTTCGTTTCTGCCCGATATCAACATCAGGCAAACGCGTCAACAACTATTACAGTTTTCTATTTCCTTTTAAATTTTTATATATATATATATATATATATATATATATATATATATATATATATATATATATATATATATATATTTCCTCGTCATTGCCGACGCGTTCGTCAATCCGTCAGGGCAAGTTTCAAAGCGAAATGGTTTTAGTTACATTAAATTCTAAATATAAAGGGAACGCTCTGTGTAAGTCTCCTTCTGGATATAGACAATATTTTTTGCCAATATCAAGAAGGGGCTTAAACAAACGTTACCTTTAATCTTTAATTTTATCTTACTAAAAACATTTCGCTTTTAAAAACTGCGTCATAATAAACTAAGAAATATATTCTCCAGTTATCTTCATTTTATTCATATCTCTCTATCTATCTCTCTCTCTCTATATATATATATATATATATATATATATGCGCGAAAAATGAGCGGTGTTGTGATGGATGCGAGAAATCGGAGAGCTGAGTTTAAATTCTTGTCGAGTTATGTGGAAATACTCTTGGCAAAAAAGATGAATCCCTCTTCGCCCCAACACCCACTCGTTTGGGTGCCATTCTAGAAACATATATATATATATATATATATATATATATATATATATATATATATATATATATATATATATGTGTGTGTGTGTGTGTGTGTGTGTGCGTATATGTGTCATCCACAGACGGACTGTTTCGCTCATCAGTGTGGCTAGACGTCCGGTTGTCTCTAGCTAGGATCGAAACCCGGCTGAATTGGTTATACCACTAAGCCACGACAGGGATGAAAGTGAATTTAAGCGTATTTATTTTTGGATAAACACACAGTGACTGAGAGAAATCGATTCGCTTTACCGAAGAGTCTTGCATTATTAGCGGTAATATTCACAATTTACAAACTCACACTTCCGCCCCAGATTCATCCGGTGCCGCCACGATGCCTCAAACCGACATGGCGGCTCATACACACACACGCACGCACGCACGCACCCACACACACACACAGACACACAGACACACAGACATGTGTATATATGTAGTATGAACCTAATCTAAATAACGAGATATTAGCAACTATATATGCTTGTTATATTATTTTATAAACCGATGAGTAAAGATATATTTATTTAATTTGGTGTGTAAACAGTGCACAGTGTAGTCAAAGATAACTATAAAGTATATCTTAATATATACACATATACCTACGTTTAAATGTAACTTAGAGTTTCTTGGTCATGCAATTCATCAGACACAAATAGTAAATGAACTATTTTATACGGTTGATTTTTTTTTAATAATCTGGGTCTCATGGAAGAAACGCTATATGCTATGTGAAATATTTCAAATACAATGTTATTATAAATTTAATACAATGTTGGGTTATAAATTCAAAATATAAAGTGCTGGTAGGTAGATATTTGAAAGCAAAGTCATGATATTTAATATAAACTTATATGGTATATATTTCTGTGTGTTGTATTGTAGTTCGGTATGGTAGTTTACAAGTAATCTCTTTGTTTCAATGAAGTAACATTGTACTGTTTATAAGACTAACGTTTAATATTATAAAATAAGCTAAATATAAAATGTGTTGTAAGAGAAAAAAAGATTAGAATGTGAGAAAAATCAAAGAAAAAACAAACGCCGTATTATACATTACGCTGTAAATAGAGGCTAAGATAGTGCAAGGGGGATAACTCGAATGTAAAGAAAAATATAATGGGCGTCAGCTGAAGTGATCTAGCCAGAATCAAAATATTTTAGAAGGGAGTTTTTCTTATGAATGTTTGCTATCATGAGTTCATTCCATTTATTCAGTAGGTTGGAATTATTTTTCAGAATAAATCTGTAGCGTCTTTTTAACTTTTTTTTAAATCATTCACTGAAGTCCTTTACTATCTCCAGTAGGCATTTGAGATCGTTGTCGTTTCTCGCATAAAGTTTGAGCTCATCCATATACAATGTTATGTTTGTAGATTCTTTAACTTTTGTTCGAGATGGGCAATTTGGACATAGGGAAAAGTGCAAGACACAAGAGGAGTGGTCAAAGTGAATCCACTTCGTATACCGGGGGTAACAGCAGAATTCTCCAAATCGTGTAACAGCATGGGGTAATTGTTTAGTATCTACAAAAAACACTAACATAATTGAGTTTCTTTCTTCCACATTTTAGGAGAATATTTTTAGTCATCTTGACACCATTTTTCGTATGAATCACTGAAAAACCATTTACGTTCTTCAGCTAGAAGAAGAAGAAGTCCTTTTGTCTTATCAACTGAGCAATGGTGAGTGGAAAAAGATTATTCAGGCCTTTGGTAATGGTACCAGCATTCATAGTCTGGCTTCCATCTTCAAAGTCCATTCAAGAACCGTCAAGAGAACGGTGGATAAGCTTAAAAAGTAGAGAACAGTAGAAAGGAAAGCTAGATCAGGAGGTCAGAACAGGAAGAGTGATCATCATTTCAACTTAAGAACTAAAGAGGTCAATTAGAAAAGATCCAACTCAATCTGTAAAGCTTTTGGCATGTAAGAGAGGAGTTTCTCTATGACGGTCTAATGTGCAGTGAAAACAAAACAACTTGAAGATGAAATCTTATCTGAAACGTGTGAGGCAACTTGTTACTCCAGGACAGAAAGTTAGAAGGTCAAAGAGGTCGAAGAATAAGTTGGAAAATGATCACAGAATAACACAACACACACACACACACACACACACACACACACACACACACACACACACACACACACACATATATCTATCTATCTATCTGTATCTATATATATATATATATATATATATATATATATATATATATATAGTTGCACTTTATTTCAATCATTCATAAGCTTTAACCATGATTAATTGATGATGAACATGTCATTTTCGTTTATGATTGATTCCATCACATTTCTTCTATTAAGCTTGGAAGTAATTATACATTCTTATTGCTCAAAGTAGAGTCCAGTAGTGCTATAAAAAGCTCGGAGAATTCCAGTAAGATATCTTTAATCATTTCTAAGATACAACAGTGCTGAACTTAAAGTAAGAATTGGACAATTTTCCTGTTAAACGATTTGGACAATTTTCCTGTTACACGTGTATATTATTATTATTATTATTATTATTATTATTATTATTATTATTATATCATTTTCTCTTCTTGATCTTCATCTTCTTCTTTTTCCTTCTCCTCGTCTTCTTCTTCCTACTCCTCCTCTTCTTCCTTCTCCAATTCCTCTTCCTCTTCTTACTCTTCTTGCTCCTCCTCCTCTTCATCTTTTTCCTTATCCTTCTCTTGCCTTTCTTCCTCTTGTCTTCTTCATCTTCATCCTCTTGTCTTCTTCTTCTTCCTATTCCCAATTTCTTCTTTCTCTTCTTCTTCAAAAGAAACCTAGAAAGGAGTACTGAACTATAATGTAATATCGGTCCTTCCATATAGCGTTGAATGCTGAACAATCTAATCATAGATGTTGAAAAGACTTGAGGCAACAGAAATCTACTTTATGAAAGGATGTTGAGAATAATAATAATAATAATAATAATAATAATAATTTCAGATAAGTCCTTCAGAGATCCAATATTTTACTTTCAATTTTTCTTTTCAGTGATTGCTTACGGTTTCAACAGATTCTACAGAAGGATACTGAGAATTATATTGAGTGAGAAGTGACTACATTTTATAA